TGTAGGCAACTGGACATTCCCTTACAGAAGGGGGGGTGGGGGAGACGAGCCAATCAGGGTGCGATGTAGCACTGATGGAACATACAACTTTCCTCTAGTTCTTAAATACTTCCTCCCCCACACACACTATCATGATCCCAATTCTACCTTACAACTCTAGCTAGACCAGAGCATGTACACGGGTACAGATAAGAGTGGGAAACACAGGGAATCCAGGACAGATAAAGCCCTCAGGACCACTATTGAGAGTAGCCATACCAGGAGGGGAAGGGGAAGGTGGGAGAGAAAGGGGGAACCGGTCACAATGATCTGGACAACAGGGATCACAATGACCCTAAGGAGATGAACAACAGAAAAGTGGGTGAAGGGAGACATCGGTTAGTGTAAGATATGAAAAAATAATAATAATTTATAAATTATCAAGGGTTCATGTGGGAGGGAGGATAGGGGAGGGAGGAGGAAAATGAGGAGCTGATACCAAGTAGAAATCAAATGTTTTGAAAATGATGATGGCAATAAATGCACAAATGTGCTCGACACAATGGATGGTTGTATGGATTGTGATAAGAGTTGTAGGAGCCCCCAGTAAAATGATTTTTTTTTTAATATAAAGAAAAAGAACGTGGAGTAGGGAACCAGTGGAGAGGTCTGGGGGGCCAGCCCCAATCCCAAACACTAAGTGGACACCTGCCCCTCCGCCCAGAAGAACTTATGTCAAAAGACGGCATTGAATCTGTAGCTCCGGGAGAGGGGCATATCTGATCGGAGGAGTACACGGGTGCTGATGAAGGGGGAGGAGGAAAGAGTGGAGCACATCCTGGCCCACCAGGCCTTGAGGACAATGATCCCAATTAGAGCAGCCAGTCCACAGAAAGGACTAAATGGCCAGCCCCACTATGAGACATGACACTCCTCACTGACCCATAGCCTTACCGGGGACAACATCGGAGACACAGTGTGGGAATTGCACGAGATCTGATCCCGCCACACCGAGGCAAAACACTAAGGGGGTGCAACAGAACAGCAAGGGAATGGGGCGGCGAGGTCCCCAGGGAATGCTGAAGGTGAACTTTGGGGCCAGGGTGTGGTGCCCCAACAGACTTGACTGGAAAACACCATAAAGGCCAATAAACAATCCTTGAACTAGCTACAAGCTTTTCTTTCTTGTTTTGTTTTGGTTTTTTTGTCATTGATTTGTTGTTGTTTTGTTGTTTATTGTTGCTTGGTTTTGCTCTGTCTTGTTTTTGTGCATGTTATTATCTCTGCATCTCTGTCTAAATAAGAGGCTGGATGAAAAATCTGGAGGAGAAAACAACGGACCGACAGTGGGTGGGGGGCGCGGACATGGGAGAGGGGGAGGTGGGGGGAAAGGAAGTGGTGTTAACAAACCCAGGGACAAGGGAACAACAAGTGATCCAAATTGGTGGTG